CACTCCCTGGAGAGCCTTGTGGACACAGAGAGCTGCTGCCTTACCAGATGGTGATGCAGGCAGTCAGGATGCTCTTTATGGTGCATCAGAAGAAATTGGTAGGAATCTCTTGGGCCTACCCAAAGTTCTCGAAGCCTCTACTGGAAGGAGAGTCACTGATAGGCTGGCCTCATAATTTTTTCACTGCGGTCCACTGATGTATATCAGTGCATGGCCACCTCTCTACAGCTTCCCTTAGTCCACAATCATCGTCTTTGTCTTGCTGATGTTAGAACAAATGTAGTCATCACACCATTCTGACAGAGTAGCAGATGTTTGTGCCACTAGCTCTTTCCAAATGCTGGCATAAATCCTATTAATTATATTAATCTGATGCTATTATCCAGAATGACTTGTGTTTGTAGGTGATGATGAACGTAGGAGTCTAACCCAAGCAGTGGTGTACTTGTCTGGATGGGAAATCAAACCTTTGACCCTTGTGCCAGGAATTGATGTTGTCCACTATGCTACTGAAAATTAGAATTGTTCTAATAGACAATTATATAGGGCAACTACTGTTGAAAGTGGGTGTGGATTCAAAAACATTTACCTCCCTATGCATTGATAAGACAAACCCCAAAAGTTTAGAAACACCACTGGATGGGTAATTCACCAGTAATTCAACAATAAGTGAACTCCTATAGAAGTAAAGACTGACATTCAATAGGCTCTTTTGCTATCTATAATATTATGTAAGGTACCTGTATTATTTTAGTTTTAATGCTCTGTTTAGAGCAGTTGAGTGCAACATCAGAAAACAGCAAACATGAGACATGTATTTACTGAAATGTATATTAAAGCTTAACAAATAGAGAACCATATGTTCTGATAGTCTTGGAAGTGATGCACTCAAATAAAAACTAGGGGTTGCACATTTGATCAGTCTGGATGCAGTATTTTAAATTGTGCTGTAAGAATTTAGCGTACAAACAGAAATCTACCTGTCCTTTAAAAAATAGCAAAAAAATATATGTTAAAAAAAATACAAAACCACCATTCACTACTCTATTTAAAAAAAAATAATAATAATAAAGTGCACTGTAAAGCTGAACAAGGACACAAAGTGTCACTGATGTGAAATACTGCTCTTCTGAAGCATGTAAAACTGTTTGGTTGGTCCTTATGGAGAATCTGTAATCTGAGCACCTCAGTCAGTCTAAGCACCTCAGTATTCAGTCAGGATACTCTGAAAAGCTTTTTCTATTCATGTTTCCATACGAATGGGCCTATGTGTATTTTTGGTTTCAATATAGGCCTACATTTAAAGAATTTTAACAAGGTAATGGCAGCTCAAGATTAGTTTTTGAACTGTGCCCATGGGTGTTTTGTAATTGGCTGTTTAGCGGAATGGTTAAGTTACCTGCTCTCCTTGTGGGAAACACTTAAGCACTTGCTTGGCTTCTAATGCTACATTCTGCCAGGTTAATTACTTCACTTTAGTGCTGCGCATGTGAGGTAATTTGATCTTTTCAGTCGTCACAGCCCTTAATGGTTGAATCTCATATTGTGATAACTGGAAACACAGATTAAGAATGTATAGAAATTCTGTCTATAGACACATGCTTAGCATTATTTTCAGGATGCACATGACGGCAAATTAATGGCAAAGATGCGAACGTTCTTACAAACATTGTCTCTGAAAAATGAAGATATAAATACAATTGACTAAAAAAGAAACAATCATTTTTGGGGGGTTACTGATACACTATATGGACAAAAGTATTGGGTACATCCCATTCTAAAACCATATACATTAATATGGAGTTGGTCCCGCCTTCGCAGCTGTAACAGCTTCCATTCTTCTGGGAACCTTTCTACAAGATTTTGGAGTGTGTCTGTGGGAATTTTTGCCCATTCACCCAGAAAAGCATTTGTGATGTCAGACATGTTGGATGAGAGGGCGTTGCTCGAAATCTCTGTTCTAGAAAATTCCTAAAGGTGTTGGATGGGGTTGAGGTCATGGCTCTGTGCGGGCTAGTCAAGTTCACACTAAACCCACTCAGCCATGCCTTTATGGACCTTGCTTTGTGCACTGGGGCACAGTCATGCTGGAACAAAAAAAGGGCCTTCCCCAAAACTGTTCCCACAAATCTTATTACAGTACCACGCTCTAATTCAGTGAGCTCTTTAGAACGACCCATTCTTTCACAAAAGTTTGTAAAGGCAGACTGCATGGCTAGGTGCTTGATTTTATACACCTGTGGCAATGGGACCAAATGAAACACCTGAATTCAATGATTAAGCGGTGTGTCCCAATACTTTTGTCCATATAGTGTATTTCATGTATTATACATAGTAAGTCTCTGTTTTTAATTATGGCTTCTGCATGGAACCTATATGGAACAAAAATACAATAAATAAATAAATAATGCCAGAATGGAAGCAGAAGTCCATGTGCAATAGATGATACGCAGAATGTGCAGAATTTCCAGCTATACTCCTTTCTCTGCATTAGAATTCGAGGGAAGGGGGCGAAGAGCAAGAGAGTACTGTCAGACTGTTACTTCCACTGTACAGCTTGTCACTGCCAGGAAAACACAAGGGATCCATGCATGGTTTGTGACTGACAGGGTGCTTGTGAACAAACAACAGAGCAGTCAGCACCTGTGGAAAGAGGAGGAAAGGGGAAAAATAAGCCTCAGCATAAACTTGTGGCAGCTAATGGGGTGAGGTTGCAGTAATTAAGCTACTGTTAGCTGCCATAGTAAACACATTCTAAAATGATGAGGCTATTAGTGAGTGGAGGACTCTAGAGTAATGCAGTATGTCTTATTGAGAAAAGAGTACTATGACTAATACTCCTAAACGGCCTACATACATTTGCATACATATTATCTCAAGATAATTTATTTATTCCTTACTTACACATACTTTAGATTTACCTAACAACAATCCAATTGTGGCAGAAGACTTTGTTTTAAGCTGAGAGTCGTCAGTGGAACTGATCTTGTAGAACTCCAGATAAGAACTATGTGGTGTGTCTGCTTTCTCCAATGTTAATCACACTGAGCTGTTTAACACAAGGTCGATTCCCTGACCTCTTCGCCATCATCCCTTGTCTGGATGGGTGGTCATGAATAGGTAGGGGGTATAACAGGAAAATCCATTTTGAGGCCTGTCACACTGTCATCACATGGTCAGTAACACCGCTAAGGCACATAAGCAGAACCCAAACTGTTTTCTGAGTGCTATATATAGAACATTGGCATTATGGCGGGGACAGGGATGTACATCAGTCAGCCATTTACTTTTTTTGTGAGGACTTCTTAAACCAGTTGTCAGTATACCTGCTCACTATCACATAATGCAAAGTCTTGCATGAAAAGTCTTTTCTTATTTCAAATCGAATATCTTCCTAGAGGAGTGTCCTCATACCACATTGGGATGAAGTGCTATATGTATTGGAAGGTTTCAGCCTTTTTTTCAGGTTTCAGGTACATAGTGTTTCTTATGACACAGGCTCTTTTTGAACCATCCTTTATGGATTTCTCTTTGACACACAGTTCAGAAAAAACTAATTAGCCATAACATCACATTCAGATGTGTGTTCAGTATCACCTATAATTACCCTTCAGTGTATGCAGTCAATAGAGACTGCCTCTGTATACTTTCTGCTAATGATTTGTGTGGCAGTGGTAATTCCCAGAATGGTAGCTGGTAAGAATAAATGGTAAATGTAAGAAGAGTTTTCCTGTAATACTTTAGATGGATATGTTTACACTATATACAAAAAAATCTAATCCCATCCTATGACAATATCTCACAATCCTCCTTTACGTTGTCAATAATTTAACATTTCAGAAACTTGTGCTCTGGTGGGTGTGTGGGAGAATGAGGTATGTTACAAATGGACAAAAAAGACAGTTATGTTGTTTATGCATCATTATTTATGCTGTTGCACTGCTTTGCCTATGGATGAAAGCATTACGAACCAGTTGGAAAAAAAATTACAGGTATGCTTAAAGCAAGAAGCATTATTTTCAGTGAAGATTAAAAGTGAAGCAACTGACAGTGGAATGTAGTTGATGAATAACTATAATCTGTGTCTATTATACTGCACATAGTCTTGAATTCCAGAAAATACAATTCCACCAAGATGTATAGAACCTCCACTATGAAATCAGTCCTCCTTCTTGATTCAACAGAAGATCATATTTAAATCCAAGAGACACAACTAAACAATGAGATGGTAATTCAGACAGGGATACATGTTTTGGTGAATACTCGGTGCATACCAAGTTGGTCTTAACTGCAGCTTGCGCCTTGCCTTATAGACCAAGCTTTGCCATAATTAATTAGTAAACTTCTGAATATGTTGGTCAATTGAAATAATCTGATAGTTTAAAAGACAGAATTTAATGTTATAAATGACATTACTAAATGCTTAGCTAGCTAACAAACACCATTTGCTACAGGGGGCTGGAGCTAACACATTGAACCAGGCTCCTCTATGTTAGATTTCAAAGTAAAACCTTAGAAACCAGATACCCTGGCAGAAAGAACAGAAACCACCAAACTCTACAGGAGCACTTTCCTGAAACAAGGCCTATGCTTTTTTCTAATAAATTTTTCCTGCATGTATCAGACTGACCACAGTTTAAAGAGGTTTTACAGGATGTATCAGTGTGGTGAACCAAGGTCCAATTCAGTTGAGCAACCAGGCATCACAGTGTCTGCAATGCAAATACAGCCATTTTCACACAGGTGAAGTTACATGTCTTTCGAGTACATGAGCTATTAAATGTATAATGTTGATAACGGTACTATTGTGCCTCAAAGCTGCAGTAGGTAATCTGTATTAAAAGTTCATAACTGTTATATTTGCTAAAACTGTCACTATGTCCTGACAGTGGTACATGAGAGATAATCTGTGAAGAAAAATCAGGCTCCTCTGGCTCCACCTTCCATTTGCAAGAATCCACTGCCCCCAATCAGAGCCAGAAGGAATGTCTGACAGAGTGTCAATCACTGCTTGTGCACAGGTTGCGGGCAGCAGCCCTTCCCCCCACGCATTGCCTCAGGAAACGCTCAGGAAAAGAATTGGTGGATAAACAACCACCAGCAAGTAAAAAAGCTGCCCATCTCTCCTTTGCTAACAACGGCATACACAATAGAGACAAGTAAAACATGGAGACAAATAAAAAAGCAAAGCAAAAAGAATTAGACAGAGCCTGAGATAAAACAAGGCAGAGGGAGCTACGTGACCTGAAAGGCCTTAAAATCCGATGCCAAGTTAGCCACATTTCAGCAGGACAGGTCAAAGCTCCTGCTTGATTTTAAACCATAAAGCTGAGATGGTAATGTCACTCTGTAGCACATATTATTGTGATGTTGCTATTGGGCTAATATTAGCTTGTTTCCAATACTAAGGCTACTGGTTAGTTTTCTTGAAAGTTAATGAAAATATCTTTATGAAGTACCCAGGTAGTCATATTGGCTTGGTGTTTGGCCTGATATTTGTTTGCCTATGCTCTCACAGCTAGCTGTTCTCAAGTGGTATACTGCTTATTTAGCACTATTCACAACTCTTGTCAAACATCTAAGCACTGAAATAAGTGTGCTAGTCACATGGTTGCTCGACTGCACATGCATGGCTGCCTCCTCTACTTCCTCTGCAGGGAGGGGCTTTGGAGGCAGAGCTGGAGCACATGAGAGCAAGGAGGGACCTGGAAGTTGTACTCATTTAAACTTAAGCTGAGACCACTTGCTTCTTAATTCTACCTACTCAACTTTAACACCCTGTATGTACCTCTCTAGCATTAATGTACTTTAAAATATATTAAAAGCCAAACTCTTTAAGCCAAAACTCTTAAAGCTCTCAATGAGTGCGTTTGCATGCACTTAATCCGATAACTGCAGAAAATCAGATTGTCAGTAATCCGATCAACACATTTACATGCACTTGAGTAATCAGACAAGGGGAAAACTCTTGGTCTACATGAGTCAAGCAGTAATCAGATATCTGCTTTACAACTGGCCAATAAACTCCCTGAAGACATGACATAAACATCATGTAAAACTAACTTCATGCCATGGCTTTTTTTTTATTAAGGCATCATGCCACTTTACCTGAAAATATGAACATATCTAGAATGAAGAATAATTAAATCTTTTTATTTCGTCAAGCATGTAGTTGCTCCAAAAGTATTTTGCTGCCATGTCATGGCAACGCTGCTTGCTTATTTCCGGTACCACGGTCTGTTTCCACACATATGCAGACTGAGAAATCTGAAAGAAATCAGTGTAAGAGTGTACATGCACTGAGAAATCTGATAACTGAGCTAAAATCCACCTCTCTATCGCATTTCTAGACCTTACTCCGATATAAGAAATCAGAGTATGCTGTTTACATGATTATTCAAATAATCAGATAACTACAGAAATCTGATTATAATTGAATTATTACGTGCATGTAAACACACTCAATGTCTTCCATATCAGACTAATGCAACACATTTGAGGTAGCTTTTAGTAACACTGCACAATTCTGATCAGGTTTCTTTAAAACTGCATTTCACATCAAACCACTCTGAATCATCTTAATTGTTCAGATGTTTGGAAATACCATTGGTATACCGTTTTAGTAAATGCAAGGGCCAAGCTTTCAAAGGCGATAAACACTAAATTTATGTTTGCGTTTGGGGCCAGGTAACAATGATTTCCTTACTGGACACAACAGTTTCTCGAGCAACATCCTTGCTGGGCCCAAGATCCCTTCCTGGAAAGGGGAAGGAGAGAATTCTGCAAAAGTTCTGCAGTAAAAGCAAATATAGCCATGTTGCTTAAGAGGGCTACTCACTTCTTCTGCTGCAGGTCTGAACACAAGAATCCATCTGTGATAGTGTGCATACTGATGTACTGCAGTGTATAAAGACCTAAGAAAAGAGAACACGTCTTGTAAATTCAGCCTACCATAGCACATTAATCTTTCCTCACACTGGGCTACAAAAAACCCACTACCTTCTCCTTTAGAGGAGCCACTGATGTAGGATGTACAAAGGTGAATATCTTGAGAATGAACCGCTTCTAATGAGTTGGAAACTGTAGAACAGATGATTCAGTTACAGCAACTAAGGTGGTCAGGTAACGATCATCCTCATATGGGCATCTGCAAAGAAAAATCTATTCAAATTTGGTCCAAAAGCATAGGACTAGTGTCAGAAGGTGGGCAGCTTCAAAAGGTCCAAATCAACCAAAAGGTCCCACTAAGGAAGGCTGAGAGGGCTAGGTGCAGCAGCGTCCCAACATGAGGACAATATTGGGATCAGTCCTTTCCAAGACATGGACTTCCACATACACAGGGTCCTGCAGAACTTTTGTAACTGGGTAGTCAGCATCACTATAGTAGTTACAGGTTAGGTAGTTCAGCCCAAATCCAAAACAAGTTAAAACTGAATTGCTAGCCTACCAGCAGCACATCCCTTGGTAGTACGTTGCCACTATTTGCTAGTCTTAATTCCACTCTCAGGTGTCCAGATACAGCTATGTTAGGTGGCAGAGGAACAGTGTTGACTTCCGCAACAAGTGCTTCCAGACTAGTCCTGGAAGAGAAGTCAGAAAAGAGTGGAATAGAGCAAGTCACTTATAAGGCAACAAAAAGAACCAACAGACAAGCCTTGCATTACGCTCATAATGGCTGTCTTTGGTGATCGCACCAAAAGGGCCAATTCTGACTTCATGAGAGGATGCCATTCTGTTGTCACCACATATTTACCTTCATCCTGTAGAGAAGATGAAGGGCAGTTATTGACATTTATGAGCAGAAGCACATCAGTTTATCAAACATACTAACCATTACAGTGGTACCACAGGCAGTCACTGGGAACTGGTATGTAGTAAAGCCAGTATTAGGCTTTGGTCACACAGCAGGTAAAAGTGGCCCAAATCCGATCTTTTTTCTTTATATGTGACACAGATGTGTTATCTGTGTGGCAGTGTGAACAGCAAAAAACACATTAAATCTGACATTTTCAATTCCAATTTGAAACACTTGTATGTGGTACTAAAATCCAATCCATATCTGATATACAGCAATGTGACTCAGTCTGAACAGCCAGAACGGAATTTATGTGACTTTTACATAAATCCAACTTGACATTTGTCATAATTTTGCACTGCTAAGACCTCATAAACACTTAGGCTGATGTTTCTGTACCAAAAAATTAGAAGGCGATTACTGCAACCGCTCCATGTTTGAAGAGATTTCAAACGCCGACATAGGAGACCGAGGTGGAAAAGTGACCAAAGAAGTGGCTGTGGACAAATAACAAAACACATTGGGCTTGAACACATTCTGGGTGATAAGCCCAGCTGTCAACCATTGAAACTTCATGATCGCTCCTGTGATACTCGCAAAGAAACTGAAAGCTCCAGGAACAGACCTGCATTCGCTGGCAGTCATGATTGTTTACCTCTGGATGACCGCGCCACTTGAAGCAACATGAAACATGGTTCTTTTGCACATGCGGGTCCGTTTAGAAGTGTGATCTATTTGGACTAATGTCGGATACAGGTCACATTTAAAAAAAAAAACAGATTTGGTGAGAAAATCAGATTTGGGCCACTTTTACCTGCTGTGTAAACGTAGCCTTAGAGTCAACAGGACTCACTTCCTCCAAGAAGGTAGACAGAAGCCAAGCTCAGTCTAGGTAGAGTTACATATCTTGCTACCACTACCACAAACTGACCATCTCTTGTACATTTTACAGTCACTAGGAAAGAACAGAAGACAGTCTTTTTGCAATTACAGCAGCTACAACACCAATCAAGTAAAATAAGACTCACCAAATATTCACCTCCCTTTCCATAGTAGCACTGTTGCCCATCAAAACAGCAGTTTATAGCTGCACAGTCAGCAGCACTAATACCAGGGAGGCCACATGACACATTCTCATAGTCATCAACACTGCATTGTTAAAGGGGTAAAGCCTGAGAGACTGGTTGTTTGATGTCTGGCTTCACTGGCGGTTGCGGGCCAGTCCCCAATGTGTTGTGTGCAAAAGTAAAGGCATTGTGCAAGTAACAACAAAGTACTACCGCTTTCACAACAGCCCTAACCTTTGCCATGACCACACAGCCACTCACACCTAGAAGCACGCTACAGGAGGCATTTTTAAGGCTGAAGCCTGTCCTGATTGAGCCTAATCCTTTATCACTTTCAATTAGTCTCCTGCTGTGGACAATCAAGCTGCTCTAATGCTGCATTCATGACACCTGGGAACTGGGAATTTTCCAGCTCAGAACCTATTCCCAGGTAACTTCAATTGTTTGAAGAGAGGAAACAAATTGACCTTCACAGTACGTTAATGCTTGTTTGGCTGCTGTGTGAATTTAACAGTTATTTGGTTGACATAAAAGTGTACGGTTTGATCTGAAATCTTGCACAGAACAACTTAGCTGCACTTTCCCTGAGCGATTATTCCTGCCATCTTAAATCTTTTACTAACCACAGATAGAATTATTCATAGTCCTGCATCAAAGCCAATTTGAGTCAAAGGATGCATCTCTGTGCTATGTGCAGTGTTTCAACGTACTGCACAACTTGACATCTAAAATTACTTAAAAATAAAAATTAACGGTTTGCAGTTAGTGGAGAATTAAACAGCTAACGTAATTTCAGTGTATGTATTATTTCTATGTGTTTATTTCTATTCCACATATACTGATTTTAATAAACAGATGAAGTCAATTAGGCAGTCCAGCTCAGGCCTACTAGACCAGCTGATGAGCCTTTTCATTCCTCTCATTTACATGTTGATAGTGGGATTTGGTATGAATTTTTCTCTTTGTTTTGCCACCCAGTTAAAAGTTTGAATTTAAAGTGAAAAACATCCCTTTATGATGCAGCAAAAGTCCTCCAGAAATCCAAGATTTATTTCCAGGTGGTATTGGCTGGAAACTAAATGGGCTTTTTTTTCTTTTTCTTCCTATATCATTAAAGAGAGGAAACATTTTGCATTAGTGCTACAGAATGAAGAAAAGAAAATGCTCATTAGGTGAGTTATGTTTTAATTCAGTTAAAAGCATTCAATTACATAGCATATGCTCACATCCCAGTTTCTTGCATCTCTTTTTGTATTTCTTACAAAATGCTTAGAGGGATGCTTAGAGTGATGTCACTTCCTTCCCCCAATTGAGTAAGCCTTTTACTGTCACCTTTGTTGATTTTGGTGTCATGTAGTTACAACCCCATTTCCAAAAAAGTTGGGATGCTGTGCAGAATGTAATTAAAAATAGAATGCAATGATATGCAAATCATGTAAATCATGGCCGATACTGGCCGTGGTGCTCAACTGACTCAGAGTCTTTTTGACATTTATGCAGCACTTTCTATATACAACCCCATTGTCAAAAAAGTTGGGACACTGTGCAAATGTAAATAAAAACAAAATGCAATGATGTGCAAGTGATTTAAACCCTATATGTAATTGAAAATAGTACAAAGACAACATATAAAATGTTGAAACTGAGAAATTTTGTTTTTTTAAAGAATTATTTTGAATTTGATGCCAACAACACATTCCAACAAAGTTGGAACGGGGGCATGTTTACCACTGTGTTTCATCACCTCTTCTTTTAACAACACTCTTAAAAGACTACACTTCTTTTAACAAATGTAAGCATTTGGGAACTGAGGAGACCAATTGCTGAAGTTTTGAAAGTGAAATGTTTTCCCATTCTTGTTTTATATAGGATTTCAGCTGCTCAACAGTTTCCTTTGTCCTATTTTTCATTTCATACACCAAATGTTATCAGTGGGTGACAGTTTAGCACCCGGACACTCTTAATACAGAGCCATGCTGTTGTAATACATGCAGAATGTGGTTTGACATTGTCTTTCTGAAATAAGCAAGGCCTTCCCTGAAAAAGACATTGTCTAGATGGCAGCATATGTTGCCAAAACATGTAGATATTGTTCAGTATTAATGGTGCCTTCACAGATGTGCAAGTCACCCATGCCATGTGCACTAATGCGCCCCATACCATCATGAATACTTGTTTTTGAACTGCACTGATAACAAGCTGAGTGGTCTTTAGCACGTAGGACACAGTGTCCATAATTTCCAAAAAGAATTTCAAATGTTGATTCATTGGACCACAGGACACTTCACCACTTCCCCTCAGTCCATTTTTAATGAGCTCAGGCCCAGAGAAGGTGGCAGCATTTCTGGATCCTGTTTATATCTGTTTCTTCTTTGCGTTTAAGAGTTTTAACTTGCATTTATGGATGCAGTAACAAACTGTTTTCACAGATAGTGGTTTTCAGAAGTGTTCCTGAGCCCATGCAGTAATTTCCACTACAGAACCATGTCTGTTTTTTTTATGTAGTGCCGCCTGAGGGCTCAAAGATCATGGCCAGCAAAAAATGGTTTTTGGTCTTGTCCCTTGCATACAAAGATTTCTTGAGATTCTCTGAATATTTTAATGATATTGTGTACCGTAGATAATGAAAAGCAGCCTCTCTGAGATGCTCCTTTTCTACCCAGTAATTTACTGACCTGTTACCAATCAACCACAAGGTGTTTTTTTTCTTTGTTTTTTTGTTTTTTTTACCAACCTTTTGTTGTCCCTGTCAATTCATAATGAGCAAATATTTTTCAATAAACAACATTTCTCAGTTTCAACATTTGATATGTTGTCTTTGTACTATTTTCAATTACATATAGAGTTTAAATCACTTGCACATTATTGCATTTTGTTTTTATTTACATTTTGCATAATGACACCAAGACTGAATCAGTTGTGCACTACAGCCAGTATTGACCTTCATGTTTTAGTCTTGCTAAGCTTGGGTCGACTACGCCCTTACACAGATCTTGACATTAGAATGCTTTTAAAGTGATAAACCATTAGTGTGCATGTAAATATATAAACCTTTTAACTATATTTTGACATTTTGATTTGATAGTATCCTTATCTATATTTTAAGGTTGTCTGATGGTTTCTTAATAATTATAATTCACTTTGATATGCCAATCTCATCATGTTATATGATGTGGTTTGTTGTAAGATTCCTTCATATGCTCTGCATGAAATTGGTTGTTGCTATAAATAAACAGCTTATGCATTTATTGGTGCTTTAAAAACTTGGTCCATGCCCCTTTTTGACTTTAAGCACCTGCCCATTAAGGTTCTCTACACGTCCCTGCATTGGAGTCTTACTGTTTACAAATGACAAAATGTTTTCTTGTCTCCTTTTTGCCTCTCCATTTTGTCTCAGACTGAAGTCAGCAGAAAACAGTTTCCTGAGGAGAGACCGTGAGGTAAAGAATAAACATGACAATTGGGACCCCCTATGAATGATGTATTCTTTAAAAGTAATGCATTTCTTGTGGATATCTCTTGGAGCCTGTTTTCATATCCAGCCACTGTGTTGGTTATTGTGTCCATGCACTCCTGCTATTGTCTCATGCCATTCTGCATAAGGGGTGCAACGATTATTCGACTTAGTCGACTAAAATCGACGACCAAATTAGTTGGCAACTAGTTTAGTAGTCGATTAGTTGGTGACGTCATTACGCGTCTTTCTCACGCTCAATAGAAACGTTGACATTACCGCTTATTGGAGACTTAACAACAGTGGGATGGCTCTCAAGAACAAAATCCTCAAAAGTGTGAGAGCTAAACTCAGAAAAAAAGGTTGTCAGTTGTGCTATTTGTAAAGCCGACCTTAGCTGGCACAGGAGCACATCCTCCATGATGGAGCATCTAAAGAGGAAACTCGTCGGGATGAAGGAGATTCATCTCGGTAAGATACGCCGCGTCCCAAATCGCATACTAGCACACTAAATAGTGTGTAAAACAGCGCATATAGCATTAGAAGGGCACTCATTAGTGTAGAGTGTGATGTAC